TTCCGATCTCCCCAAAACCCCAAAACCCCTCGACTATAAATACATAACGAAATACTTAATTTCTTAGATAAAAAACTAATTTAGTAATTGGTAATTTATACATCCTCAGATAATTATGCTGGGATCATAATATTGTGCAAACAATGGGTCGCTCAATAGATTTCTCCTGACATACTCATCAACAGCCAACATCATAGTAGGGTATAACTTGGCAAAGTATTTCAGGTAACTATCATTAGTGCTGCCCAAAAATTATTTGGCTTCTTCTGGAAGTTCTCTAAAGTGATTCTTCTTGTTTCTTATAAACTAAAGTAATTGTAAATAGAGTTATTAATTTACTCTGAGCAAATCACAGAATGATGTCTAATTGTATTTTCTCCACTTTTACAATTCCAAAATCTAAAAATTATTTGTTAACTATAAGTTTTATTTATTACTAAAGATTGATGCAATACTAAGGTCCAGTTATTTTAGCATCCTCGTAGTACTTGGTATTTAGCTCCTATAGTCTCTAACTTCATTATTAAGTCATTGTTATTTTGATTTTGAAATTCCAATTTATCTGAAACATCTTGAATCAGTTTTAGTTTCTTATCGTTTGACCAGAAGAAAATATGTATCAAAAGCTACTTCGCACTAGGTCGCTTCTTAGGATCTGGATTAATCATGCATTCTATGATATTCGCAGCTTCTTTACTCCTCTCATAGGTCAACTATTCCATAATTTTACTAAGGTTAAATTTCCCATTCATAATATTCTTTTCTCTTTCGAATCTTTGCCCAAAAGGATGCTCTCCCATAGTTAAAAGATAATAAAAGACACATCCCATTGAGAAAATATCGACTTTATGAGTTTTCTATAATGATGTCTTTAATGGCTTATGTTCTTTTTCAGAATGAATAACTTCGGGAGGTTGCCACCCCAAGCTACCCTTTATTTCAGTGTGATAAGAGATTTAATTATCATGAAGTTATTTTGATAGGCCCATGTCAGAAAGCTTGACGATCTTCAATTTATTTATCAAGATATTGTGAGGTTTGATATCTCTATGGACTATATTGTTATCATGCAAGAATAACAGTCCTTTCAAAGATTGTAACATTATTTAAATCATTGTATATGGCTCCTTGAGTTCATCAGGATTTTATTAATAAATATTTGCCAACGGTAAAACTTTCCACTCTTGTTGATCTGTCTATGTTATTGCTTTCATCAACTCAACTAAATTTTCTAGGTTTCCCTCACATTTTTCAAAAGCAAGGTAGACAAAATCCTTATCATACTCATTATCATAGTAAGTAATGACATTTGGATGTAAATCTACTTTTTATAAGAATTAAATTTCATGACTTGCAATGGAATTATGCTGTAAAAGCATTCTCTTAACTGCCACTAATCTATTATTTAGTGAGCCCTCGTAAACAACAGTGCCTCCACTACCTAATCCTAATATTACTTTATCATTAACAGTAATTTTCCTTTTTATTTCTTTTTCTTAATGCTCAATAATTTCTTATTCTTTTGGTTCCTCATTCATTGTGGGAAGGGTCTTTGTAAGACTTGCTTCTCTTTTTTCCTCAATAGTAAGTAGCTTATCTTTTGATTCTTTTTTGTAAAGGTGTTTAAATGCTACAATTTTGATGAATTTAAATTTAGCCAGAATCCATATCACAAAGGCTACACTTAAAATGAACAACATTAAATCTTGCTTTAAAGTGTTATATTTGGATTAAACTTATTACTCTCCATCTATTTCTGTTGGCTTTTGCTTGGAATCATTTTTTTGTTACTATTGTTCATTTTACCTTTCTCTATTCTTGAATTCCTCCTCCTCTTTTACTTTTATTTCTAAATTCTATTGCTCTTAATTTTTATCATCTGCCAACATCTTCTGTTCATAATCCCTATTTGGATCTCTATCTTTAATAGGAACTTTTAATTCTTGATAGTTCTATTTATTTAAACTCAGATCAGTAGATTATCCTTATTCTGCTATTGCATGCGCATTGTGCTTTGGTATGTATTTATATTGATGATCAGCATATAAAAAATTGTCAATATTAACTAGCTTGACTGTATTCTTTTCTTTCTCCAGGAAACTATTAAATGGTACTTCTTTTATTTCATTAGTTATTCTGTTTATGTTTAGTACCTAATATACAGGAGTTTATAATTAGTGAATCCAATTTTAAAGTGTTTCCTGCCTCATGTTTTTACTTACTGAATATATCAAGTTTCCATTAGTAAAAATTTATTATTCTATCTGTGGATTAAAATAGCTATTTATTAAGGATGTTGACTATTTAGGTGGTGCCTTTGTGTGAGAAAATTCTGAATAAAATATCGACCATAGAGCTGAACCATTTTTATTATCATGTGATAAATAATCATAGCTCTTAACTACGAGCCAGAATGGCTCTGGTTTTTAGATCTATGTAGATTTTTCTGAGTGGGAATTTTTCTCTTCTTTCTTTTTGTCAGATTATTTTTATTGACCATTTTATTTTTCAGCCTCTTGTCTGAACTTATAGCCTTAAAATGAACTCAAATCCGCTCCAACAGTTTACATTATCTCACCATTATTGAGATCTATTTGAATTGCAGCTGTTTTAGTTTGTCCTGTCACTATGCACTAATCTTTTTTGTAGTTATTTGGAAAATCTTGATCTTTGACATTGAATGTGGTTCTCTAAATATTAATTATCATCAACATTACTGATAAATATGTATACGTAAGTGACCTAGGTATTGCATATACACTTACCTCTAAATATCCTTCTTTATCAAACCTGATCAAGCTTCCATCTACTAATGGAACAAAAGCGTCTTCAGACTGCACTTAGTTTTCATACTCATAGGATCCAATCATCGGCATATTAAGCTAAGTTCTCCACAATTCGTCGCCAGTAACTTTGTTTAAAGCCTTCAAAGTACCATCGACAGCAATGATCTAAAGTATTTAATAAATGTGGAAAATTATTACGAGAAGCAATTCATCATTATCAGCCTGTATTTTGGAGTTGTATTTGTCCCTGATTTTAAGTTGGTTACTATTGTTATTAGCCAAGCTAAGGAATAAGAATGACAGAAATACGAGTGAAAAAACAATAGTCAAGGTAGCCCTAGACATACGTGTGATCACTATCATTTATATTGTTAATTACAAATTTAACAATTTTCTTTGAAATTTAATAAGATTTATCAAAGTATAAAATCATAATAAAATTAGATAAGAAGTTTTTGAAATGGTCGACAAAATATTTGGAAAGGTGTTTACTGCAATGGATAATTCTAAAGCAGTGCAGCAAGTAACATCATTATTAGGTGTGCAAGAAGTAATTTAAAAATCAGCGAATGCAGATGTAAAATAAGATAAGTCACTATGCATTATTCACAAATTAAAAAAGACCTTCTTTTGCGAAGAATGTCTGTTTGAATTATGCTTTACTTGTAGAGATAAGCATGAGAGAAATCATTCAATCAAATTCATTGAAGAGTCAGCAAAACATGTAATAAATTAATTCAAAGAGAGTCTTAATATTTTTAATGAAATGAGAAATAAGTTGCATGAAGCTTCATCAGAAGATCCAAGCAATCATCCAATATCGGAAGGATGTATTAATGTTCTATAGCAAGGGAATAAGGAGATAGATCATATATTTGATAAGGTATTTAAGGAATTAGAGTAGGCTAAGTTAGAGATGAAATCAAGATTAAAGGAAGCATATATTGCTAATTACAAAACTTAGTTAGATTAGAACTCTTAAAGCTTACTTAATAATCTTATTAAATTAGAGAATTTTGTTAATGCATGTTTGCAAGATTTTGAACGAAGATAAAATAAGGGTAAATATGTAGTTATCTGCGCTTAAATTCCAAAAGTTGCGGAACTTAATTAGAAATGTGATAAACTTAAGACTATATTAGATAATGTAATAGAGAAATCTAGAGATTTTAGAAATGAGTTTTAACTTTCATTCAAGCCGATTGATTTTGATAGCCATTTGTAGGAGCTATTAAATTATCACGTAAATATTACTTTTCCCGGTTTAGAAAATGGCTTCTTCTAGGTAGAAAAGAAAATGTTTAGTAAATAAAATTCATAAGATCAAAAGCAGCTGAACCAAAAACCTAAAGATTAAAAGAAGGTTATCTATGAAGAGGAAAAATCATAATAAAAAGTAGAATTCGATCCAATAAAATCTTTAGAAAACGAAGAATACGATATTAGAAGGGCAAAAGAATATCAAAAGATAGTTCCTTTAGAGAAGCCAAAATCTAATATTCAAGCTGATCAAAGATATGAGCTAAGGACTATGAAGTTTAAGAAAGATAAGTTTGAAGTCAAGACATATGATTCTTAAAATAAAAAAGGTATTACAAAAGAAATAATTATCCCGGATGAATGCAAGAGGATAGCTACAAGATTTTTTAGCTATGTGAATATTGGAAAAAATATAATGATGAGTGGAGGTTAATTTGTTGACGATAAAACTTGTAGTATTGATTCTTATAAAATTAAGATTGATAAACAGGAATTGAAGGAGATAAAATCATATATGAAAGTTGCAAGAATGCATCATTCTATGATTTATATTGATGAAAAAAGATAGGTATTGGCAGTTGGAGGTGAGGATGAGAATTCTAATTTGCTTGATACCTGTGAGCTTTACAGTATGAGTGAAAAATAATGGAGAATGCTCAATACACTTAATTAGAGAGGAAAGAATATATCATTGTGTAAATTTGTCAAGGACAAAAAAGATGGAGAAAGACCTATTTATGTTTATGCTTTTGGTAAATTAGCAATTGAAAGAATAGATCTCTCTAAAATACCTATAAGTCCCAGATGGGACGAATTAAATGTAAAGAATTTTCAACCTTATCCAATGGCATCAGTGTCATTTAAATTTGATGACAATCTGATTGTAATTTGCGGAGGAGTTGATGATAAAAATTCTAATTAGTAGGATATTTTTTACTTCAATCCCTCTATATTAGTAATGGAGAAGGCATAAAATACTTAACTAGGATTGTGCGACAAGTTTGTTGGTGGTTCAATGACCTAATACTTAATGAACAAAATGGAGTCAAAGTTATTTGTTTGCTCAGAGTCTTTTGTTCATGAACTTGAGTTTGGAATAAAAGTAGGAGACATGAAATTCAAATGCAAAGCAAATTTATACTGAGGATTTCTAGAAAAACTTAATTTTATCAATACTTAAGTGAATTAATAATATAAATAGATTTAACATCTTATTCCAAATTAATTTCTATTAATCAATGATACATAATTAGTCATATGTTACCGCTCTGTTCGTTCGCTTTTTTCGTTAGGATGATATTATTTTTGTAATTTGAAGTCATATGACTACTTCCAGTGACCTATTGAGTTAAAGCCTAATTACTCTGCTTTTCCAAATTAGGCTTGATAGGGATTGAAATGTTGTAGAGTTTCTCAATAGCAAACTTGATGTCCTCTTTTTCAAGAGTCTCTGATCCTCTATGCTTTGCAAGTTTACAAGAAAACTCTGCAACAGTCTTTACAAAGTCGTCAGCTAAATGAGCTAAAGTCTTTTCAACTTAGTTATCGAAAACTTCCTTGGTTGATATTTTCTGGGTTAATCCCTTAATATCTATAGGTCCAATTAGTTAGTTAGAATTTTGATTGCTCATTTATTACTATTACATAGTCATCTGTTGGTGTTATTGCATCATCATTTAATTTTAGTAATCTTAGGGCATTACCGGAGGTCTCTAAGTTGGGGGATAGTATGATGGGTGTTGACTATAGGGACCGGGTTGAACAATCTTTCTCGGATCTTATCCTTTAATTTGCTGCTATAAATAATACTACTGCTTCTGTTGTTAAATAATGTAGTTGCTATCAGCTTCTGGCCTTTATTTTTATCCAGGAAGATTACCAGGTTGTTGAAAATTTCCGTCGTCTTACCTATTCATTTTTAATTTAGAATAATTATAATAGAATGAATTGATCAAATAATTAATCTATATACTTATCATGTTCGAACAAATTAATACGGGGTTTTGGGGTTTTGGGGTTTTGGGG